GGGTGCCAACAATGGACGGCATGTACTATCGACATAGTCTTCGATAGCTGTGGGAGGGAGGGGGCTGCTTGAGGATGTCCCCCAGGGCGGTTCATTGTGCAGGAAAGTATAGCATACCCTTTGGCTTCGACTGCCACGAATGACAACGTAGAACTCTGATTTTCGGTGTTGGCTACATTACATTGATATGCTAGAATCTGGGCAATTGAAATGGAGGTGTCGCTATGGCTGCTGAGGCCGTCTTCAAAACCTATTATGACTTTCGTTGACCCTTCGTGTACAACGCTGCCATGTGGCTGGCGAAGGTACGGGAATCCACCGGACAAGAGTAAACGCTTGACTGCAACCCTCTCACGGAGCAGTAAACAGCGACAAGGAGAAGACTGTAAGCTATTGTAGCAGCTGAGCGCTTGATGGTACTGACAATACCCTTCTGGCCCACCGGGCCGGGCTCGCTGCCAAGCGGCAGGGTAAGGATGCCTTTGAGTCGTTCTTTATTTCTCTGTTGAAGCTTCGGCACGAAGACCGGCGCAGCCTTACCGAAATGGAAGTCATGGAAGAGGCTGTCGCCAACTCAGGCGTCGACATGGCCCAGTTCCGGGAAGACTTGGCTGATCCGGACCTGCTACGTGAGATCGGGGAGAGCCACACTGAGGCTGTCGAGGAATACGGCGCGTTTGGCGTGCCAACCTATGTCTTCCCCAACGGCGGTGTCGCCTTCGTGAAGATGCACATTCCTCCCATCGAACAAGCCGGAGAGATCTATGAGTCCTTGACCAGGGTAATTACCGAGCCTCAGCAACGGTGTCGGTTTGTGACGTATTCCGGACTTCTCCCCTTCCCCCCACACAACTATCTACCCACCATAACCACCCCCCCCACACACCCCAAACCCACCCCCACTATCCCCCCCAAAAGTCCACCACCATCCCCAACGATCACCCACAACCCACTCACCCCCCCCCCCCCAGTCTCGTCTTTTTCACCCCCCACCCGGCTCCGTCTTCCTGCTTCTCTCTCTATCCCTTGCGTTTGTCACCGTTTTGCCCTTCCTCGATCCTCGCGCCAGTTTTCGCTTCTAGCGTCTTCTCTCTCTTTGCGATTTCTGCTTCTTACTGGGAGGCACTCTTTTGCTTAGTTGCCCTCCTTCGTGCGGAGCGTTCTTTGTTAGCATCTTATCTACTTCGTGTTTCTGATTGGGTGTCTCGAGCAGGTCAGGAAGAGGTGGACACGGAAAGAGTCACGCGAGGGCGGGTCTCTGTGGGGAAGACCGAATTATTAAGGGCGGTCTTGGGATGATCTTTTCTCTCCGTCCACTTTCGGAGGCATCAAACTCCAGTGGACACTTACCGTCGTTGAACAATAGGAACCAGTTGGGGTGAAAGCAGGATTGATACTGCGACCGTAGACGCTTAAAGGGAATAGAGCAATCTCCTATTACGAGGCCGTTTGCGCGAACAGCAGGAGCTTCTCCAAGCTTCTAAAGAACAGTAGAGTCGTTGTATAGAGAAGGAATGATACTTTATGCGCTGGTCTCTTGACTAGGTTAGGGGAATTCGAGAATTGAGTTGGGGCCGAATTCTACAAGAAAAGGTGGGCCTCTTGTGGGGTCCGTAAGAGAATATGTCTGGAGAGTAGCAAGGAGGGAGACCATACTTGGTGTTATTCTGTCCGTTGCCTTTGCTGGCTGCTTTGTCTTTCTTACTTGTTATTGCCGGGGGGTCAGGCTAGGGCTCGATGGAGGCGAGGACAGTGAGAGTGTTTTAGATGTGAGAATGAAGACGAGATGGTTATGTGATAGTAGAAACAGCGAGGAACGACATTGAACTGGGGAGTCATCTCTTGACTTTCCTTCCCTCCCCCGGATGGAGTTAGCCTTGGGCGTGATTGGGGTCATCTCTTGCTCATGTTTTTCTACGGGGTGAGGAAGAAAACTAACGTCGGACAATGAAGATGAACGAGGTGGGACGACACAAGTGGAGCAAAGGAAGCGCGGCCCGCCTTTCCCTTGGAAAGTATTTGGCACTTGGAAAGGGGGAATCGGAATCGGGAGGCCAAGGCCGGGATTCCATACTGGAGGAGGCCTTCGAGTCCGTAGTAGCCGCGATATACTTGGACCAGGGCTTTGATGCTGCGCACGGTTTTGTGCTTATGGCCTTGGAACCAGAATTGGCCGAGATATGCAGGCATGGCAAGCCTCTGGACAACCCCAAGTCACGGTTGCAGGAACTGGTACAAGGACTGGGCTGCCCCACACCCAAGTATCGCCTGGTTTCAACCGACGGTCCGGACCATCTGCCAGTTTTTACTGTGGAAGTGCTTATAGGTGAGGAAATACTGGGTAAAGGTTCCGGCGGCAAGAAATCCGACGCCGAGCGCGCCGCTGCACAAGTGGCCCTAGATGCCTACGAAACCAATAGTGGCAGGCTCCAAATGCTTGGCGAGTATTTCAGCCATCCTGACGCTTTGCCCGAACAGCAATCCAGGATGCCCAGCGACAACCTAAGCCAAACTCAGTCCAACAGGGACGGAAGCAAAGAAAAGCTATGCTCTCATTCTTCCAACGCAACCGGGACAACATCCAAGAGAAAACCGCCGACGGTGTCAGGCGGAGTCGGGAACGCTGGTTCGGACGAATCCTCGGTGTTCTCCGGTCGTCTAACCTATGAGGCGACTTGGGAAGAACTCGAAGAAATCCTGATTTCCGCGGACGTTGGGGTGGACACCTCCCTGCGTCTCATTGAGGAACTCAGGTCCCAAATCCGGGAGGAAGGCATCGGCGACGCCGAAACAGCTTTTGACCGGCTGAAGCAGACCATTGCTCGTGATTTGGAAACAGGCGCATCACCTACCGCCTGGTTGGAAGCTCCCCCAACCGACACTCCTTACGTGATTCTGATGGTGGGTGTGAACGGCGTAGGCAAAACAACAAGCATTGCCAAATTGGCCCACCACCTCACCAAGGAAGGCAAGAAGGTCGTTTTGGGAGCTGCAGATACTTTTCGTGCCGCGGCTGAGGAACAATTGGAAATCCTCGGGAGTCGTGTCGGCGTAGAAGTAATCAGCCATCAGCCCGGAGCCGACCCTGGCGCAGTTGCCTACGATGCTTATCAGGCCAGCAAGTCACGGGGTGCCGATGTATTGATAGTGGATACCGCGGGCCGTCTTCACACCAGGTCCAACCTCATGGAAGAATTGAAGAAAGTCCACAGGGTTATAAACCGACTGGATTCAGCTGCGCCACAACAGGTAATATTGACCCTGGATGCTACTACGGGCCTGAACGGCCTGACTCAGGCCCACGCTTTTACTCAAGCTGTAGGTTGCACCGGCATTTTCCTGGCAAAAGCTGGACGGCACGGCACGCGGCGGCATTGTGCTGGCTATAAGGCAAGAGCTAAAGGTGCCAATTCTTTTTATCGGCACCGGGGAGTCTCTGGAGGACATTGCTCCCTTTGATGCGTCCCAGTTCGTGGATTCCCTTCTTGCCCCCGTTTCTTAGCCGGCGCAAAGACTGGTAAATCCACGACTGGCTTCTATGACTCCACCAATAATTCGTTTAGTAGCGCCTCTTCCATCCCCTAATCAACCTGGCAACTTGACCAGCCACGGCGAGGCTTCCTGTGTCTGACCCATTGGCATGGCTCTTGGTCATTGAATTGATCGGCCTGCTGGCATTCCCCTTGGCTTTCTTCCTGTTTGCTAAACTTCCGGACCGGGGCTATTCCCTCGCCAAGATGTTGGGCTTGCTCCTTGCCGCCTACGTACTTTGGATTTTGGGGTTGACCGGGATAGCTCCTAACTCTGCGCCTACCATTGCCGCCATTCTCCTGGTCGGAGCAATAGTCTTTGGGTGGCTGTACTTCCGAAGATGGCCAGAACTGGAAGAATTCGTAAAGTCACAGTGGCGCTATATCCTGGTAGTCGAAGGATTGTTTCTGGCGGTCTTCCTGGTATGGGCACTTGTAATTTCCGAAGCTCCAGGCATAAACCACACTGAAAAACCAATGGACTTTGCATTCCTGACCAGCATTCTGCAAAGCCCCTCTTTCCCTCCTGAAGATCCCTGGCTCTCCGGACATTCGATTAGCTACTACTACTTCGGCCACTTCACCATGGCCTTGCCCATGAAGTTGGCCGGGATCACCTCAAACGTAGGATATAATCTGGCATTGGCGTCCATACCCTCTTTGTTGGCCGTTGGCTCTTTCGGTCTCACTTATAACCTGGTCAGGCTTACTGGCGGCAGCTTCCGGGCCGCAATTCTGTTTGGCTTGGCTGCTCCGTTCTTGATAACTCTGGCCGGCAATCTTGAAGGCGGACTCGAGTTCGTACAAGTACGGGGATGGGGCGGTGAAGGTTTTTGGCAGTGGGTAGGCATAAAAGGCTTGGATGGTTCCCCGGGAAGCGGTTTATTCCCCGACAGCAACTGGTGGTGGTGGCGAGCTACCCGTGTCATAGACACCCTGGAGGGAGGCACGAGCCTCGACTACACAATCACGGAATTCCCCATCTTCAGCTTCTTGCTGGGTGATCTCCATTCCCATGTACTGAATCTTCCATTCCTGGTATTGGTGCTGGCGTTGGCGCTCAATCTATTCCTGACTAACGATCCTGTTGATCACCATTGGCTGACTAAACACCCATGGCAATCAGCTACGATCGCCTTAACATTGGGAGCGCTGGCCTTCGTCAATTCGTGGGATTTCCCGGTCTATGCAGCGATTGTTGGCGGTGTAATTTTCGTCAAAGCATACGCCTATGAAGGGTCAAAGGGATACCTGGGGGAATGCAGCAGCATCGAGGGCGGCATGCGGGTGTTGGGACGAACTTTCTTCTCGACGGGATTGTTCCTCGTCCCTGTCCTCGCCGCCTCCGTTTTTCTGTTTCTGCCCTTCTACCTTACCTTCAGCACCCAGGCTTCCGGCATCCTTCCCTACGTAGGGCCCGGGACACGGCCTTTGCACTTTCTGTTGGTTATGGGACTACCCTCCCTTCTAGGTCTTGGCCTGCTTTGGCGGTTACTCTATAGTCAACCCAGACCTGTCCCCCGTGAAGCTCCAGCAATCGTACTGGTCCTGGTAATAGCCATCGTGCCATTACTGGCCTGGTTGGCCCTGGCTGCTACTTGGGGAACGCTGACCCAGGGCATAGAGTCGTTGGCGGCAACTCTGGGCAAAAGGTCTCTTACTGTACTGCCTGGGCTGGCGGTGGCTGGCCTGGCGGGGTACGTTGCCATCAGCTTGGCGGGAAGGACATCCGGGGAAAGAGCTATGGAAAACAAAGTGTTCGCCTTTCCCATCCTGCTCCTTGCAGCCGCTGCTTATCTCCTGTCCGGGGCGGAACTGTTTCACTTGGCCGACTTCTTTGGAAATCGAATGAATACGGTTTTCAAGGTCTATTACCAGGCATGGTTGCTGTTGGGGATTGCTGGTGCATACGGACTTTACTACTGCTTTTCCCGCTTTTCGCTTTTGGCAGTACCCGGGAAGATTGTGCAATTGGCCTGGGCATGTGCTGTAGCAATGCTGCTGGTGATCGCACTCTACTATCCGGTTGGTGCGGCCCTCGACCGAACCGGACTATTCGGCCCAAACCACGACTTCAAGGAAAACACTCTGGACGGATTGGCCTACATCAGCGTCTCTCACCCCGCAGAATATGCCGCCATCCAGTGGCTGAGAGACGAAGCGGAACAAGGCAGAATAGTTGAAGCTGTGGGCGATGATTATTCCGAGTACGGTCGGGTATCAGCCGCAACGGGAAGGCCGACAGTGCTCGGATGGAAGGGCCACGAGCACCAGTGGAGGGGAACCGCCGAACTCTTTCTAGGCAGGGAGGAGGATGTAGCCCGCATATACCAAGACCCTGACCCATTGGTTGTGGTGCGACTACTGGCCTACTATGATGTCCGTTATGTATATCTGGGGCACCGTGAAAGGGCCAAGTACGGTGTCAGTGAGCCGAGCTCTCTGGATGGCGTATTTGAAACCGTCTACGAAAGGGATGACGTAGTCATCTACGAAAGCCTTTCTTACTCTCCACTTAGATGAATGACCTAACTCTCAAAGACCCCATTGAACTTGACCCGTCTCCAGGCGACGCGGCGGGCTCTGCCGCCTTTCGGCGTTCCTGGGCCGGCAGGGCTTTTCTTTACCTGTCCACATCGGGCTCCGGCAGGTATCTTGCTGCTTTTCTTGCCCTCCTCGGTGGAGCCCTCGCATTGCGACTCTGGGAACTTGGCGGTCGTACCATGCATTACGACGAGGCCATCCATCTCTATTATTCCTGGCGTCTCTCCAATCTTGAGGGATTCATCCATTCCCCCTGGATGCACGGCCCTATTCAAATAGAGATCGTTGCATTGTTCCTACGCTTCCTGGGAGACACGGACTTTGCCGCCCGGTTGGCCTACGCGCTGTTTGGTACCGCCCTGGTTGGCCTGCCATTCTTTCTAAGAGATTACCTGGGACGTTCGGGGGCTTTGCTGACCGGCCTCATGCTGGCAGTGTCCCCGTCCCTCCTTTACTTCAGCCGGTTCGGCCGAAACGACATCATTATGGCCTTCCTGGCGCTTTCGCTCTTCATACTACTCTGGCATTACATTCACAACCCAAAAAACCGTTACCTGTTTCTGGCATCAGGGGTACTTGCCGTAGCTTTTGCCAGTAAAGAAACGGCCTACATCATAACCCTGATTTTTGGCGCCCTGGCTTTCCTTCTGGCCATACCATATTCCCACCTGTGGGAGAGGTTTCTGGGAAATCCTCAGGAAGGACAACAGGCGGTCGAGGAACAAGCTCCTCACGAAATGACTGATGAACCGGCCAGCGAACCCGTAGCCAAAGTCGGAATTGTTACCTCAGGCTTTTTCTATGTTAGAAGGCGCTTCGAACCTCTAAGAACAAACCCGGCATTGGGGTTCCTATTGCTGCTGATTTCCCTTTCTCTCCCCCAATGGTCTGCGGGAGTTGAACTGGCGCGGACAATAGGTGCGTCGCTAGCGGGATTGGCATTCGGAGAAAGAGCGGCCAAAGCCCTGGAGGAGGGCTTTGGCCTAACCCTGGTTGGAAGAGACGGGATAACCCAGGGCATCGTTGGCGCCCCTCTGTGGGACGGACCTTTCGTAGCGCTCCCGATTACTGAATTCCCAGTTTGGCTTCCCGGCCTGTTCGTGCTCCTGGCCATTTCATTATGTGCCGCAGCAGGCTGGAAGCTGTCTGGCTCATGGCAGCAAAGGGCCGCCGCGGTCTGCATTCCCGTTGCAATTGCATACTCTTTGGCCCTTTACCTGGCAAAACCGCTGGGCTTCGGCATTGACGTCCCCTTGGGGGTATTGCTGGTAATCTTCTCCATCGCGTCATTTGTCTACCTCCGGTTTTCCTGGAAACTCGGTTTCGTGCTGTTGTTGGTCCCTGCCCTGGCATCCCTCGTCTATTGCTTGTTGTTTTTGCCAGTACTCAAGGTTGACGCCCTGCTCATAGACGTGCTTCCTGAAGGAATTCAGGTCGCCAGCAGTGGCAACGCGGTTCCTTTGAATTTCCTCGTGGCCGGTGGCATCTTGTTGGCGACCGGGACTTTATCAGTAGCGCTTGGCCTGTTTTGGCGAGGAGGCGTTTGGCTGATATGTGCTGCCATCTTCTATGCTGTTTGGGCCACGCTCTTTACTACCTTTTTCACCAACCTGGCGGGGCTATTTAGCGGCGCGTGGCAAGGCATGGGCTATTGGATAGCCCAGCAGGAGGTGGCACGGGGAAACCAACCCTGGTACTACTACTTTGTCGGATTATCGGTTTATGAACTCTTGCCTGTCCTTTTTGGCATCGTGGGGGCAGTGGTGTTCATCCGGCGCCGGGATAAGCTCGGTATGGCGCTGGCATTCTGGGCAGGAGTGAATCTACTGGCCTACACCGTGGCCAGCGAGAAGATGCCCTGGCTGCTGGTGAACATCACCATGCCTTTCGCCTTGTTGGCGGGAAAGTTGCTGGGTGAGCAGGTTGAAAGCATAGACTGGCGAAGAGCCACGTCGCGGGCTGGGCTATTGCCATCTGCTGCATTGCTGGCAATTCCTGCTGCAACATTTGCAGGGGCCGCATACTTTGCGCTAGCGTTCACCAATGAAGACTCAGACCTCTCGTTTGCTTCCTGGGTCGTCATTGCCGGATCGGCGGCGCTGGCGTTGGCCGGCGCGCTCTTGGTGCGCCGAAACGGGACGGGCCATGGCTCGGCGATGGTATCCCTGGGTCTGGGGAGCCTCTTGCTTGGGTTCACAATAGCGACGGCTCTTCAAGCTACTTATACATATGACGACTCACGCCGCGAAATCCTGGTATATGCGCAGGGCAGCACAGACTTAAGAAGCAGCTACCAGGAATTTGACGAGAGCCTCTTAGCTACAAATAACTCAGCCAACAATTCCACACCTGTTCAGGTGGACTACGATGTCTGGTATCCTTTCCAGTGGTATGTTCGACATGACGAGGACCAAGGCCGTCTCCGGTTCTCCTGCTTTAAAGACGAAGACGGTGAAAGTGGGTGCAGTGCGCCGACGAATGACGCTGATGCTTCAGCAATTCTGTTGGCGTCTCACAATAGAGCAACGGAGCCGGGAGCCCTGGGTGGTTACTCACAATCTGGGCCGCGCCGCAATTTGCTTTGGTTCCCGGAGACCTACCGAAGGCCAGGGGAAGACCGTATGACTGAAGGCCCCCTGGAAGAAGTAATCAAGGACCTGGTATTTTTCGGTGAGGCCGCGACTTCGCGAGAAAAGTGGAACGAGGCCCTCGGTTACTTTCTTAACCGGGAAATGGATGCGGACTGGTTCAATTCCGAATATTATACTTATCTGCGTCAGGAACTAACTGAGCCCAATGCATCTAACTAGACCGGCACTCTTATACCGAAAAAGGGACGTGCCCCTTGGCCCTTAACAACTGGCGACTTTGGCTTGGCATTGGGGTGAGTTCCGCTTTCCTGTTACTCCTGATTTGGACAACGGAGCTTGACGACCTCTTCCGGGCGTTGAAAGAAGCCAATTACCTTTACGTAATCCCTGCCGTCACCGTTTACTTCATAGGGGTTTATTTCAGGGCAGTGCGGTGGAAGTACATACTGTCTCCCATGCGCACCGTCTCCGTGAAACGGATCTACCCGGTAGTAGTTATGGGTTATGCGGCGAACAATGTGCTGCCAGCCCGGGCCGGAGAACTGGTTCGAGCTTATTACATGGCCCAGCGAGAGCATCTGAGTGGCAGCGCGGCACTGGCGACCATAGGTGTAGAACGAATTTACGACGGTCTTACCCTCTTCGTTATAACCGTGGCATCAGCGCTCGTGCTGCTCTTGTTCGGCGTTTTCGGCGAGGCCGGGGACCTTTACCGAAATGCGGCATTTGCCTTGGCGGCATTTGCCGGGCTGGGCCTCATAATAGCTCTCTTGTTTATAACCTTCATCGCAGTAAATCCCCGAACCATGCAGTTAACTGATCGTGTCCTCTCAGTGATTCCCGTCAGATTTCGGCCCAGGCTACGGGATTTGGCATTCAACTTTATCCAGGGACTCGGTATTCTCTCCTCTCCCAAGCAGCACGGAATGGTGTTCCTCCTTTCCCTTCCCGTATGGCTTGGCGAAATACTGGTTTACTTCACAATTGCCTACTCCTTCGGAATCAACGAATACTTTTCGAACCCTGGTATCTTTTTCCTGGCCATCATTCTGTGACGGGCACTTCCAATCTGTCCACAGCTTTTCCCGTTTCCATTGGCGGCATTGGGCCCTTCGAAATAATAGCCCAGCAGACCCTGAGTATTATGGGAGTGGAAGCTGCCGTAGCCGCCAGCTACGCGCTGGTAACCCACCTGGTTGCACTGTGGCTGCCCGTGAATTTGGCAGGGTTGGTTCTGATGTGGCGGGAAAACCTGTCCCTGAAGCAATTGACTTCTTCCGATACCAGGAAAGATCCGCCTGATGAGGGGGAAACCATTCCCGAGGGAGTGAAACAGTGCGTGTCGGAATAATCGGAGGGGGGGCAGCCGGGCTAGCCGCAGCTTACGAGCTCACCAAGCACGGTCACTTCGCTGAAGTCTTCGAGGTTGCTCCCTTCCTGGGCGGTCAGGCTTCCACCTTCGACGTAGGGGGCGGAAGGCTGGAACGCGGCTATCACCACCTGTTTGTAAGTGATACCGCAATGACCGGCTTGATTCACGAAACTTGGGTTGGGCGACAAACTGGCTTGGCTTGAGTCGAAAGTCGGGGTCTACCACAGTGGGCGCATCTGGAACTTCGCCACACCGATGGACCTGTTGCGATTCAAACCCCTCACCCTGACTCAGCGAATCAGGCTGGGTCTACTGACCTTTATTCTCCAGAAGACTCAAGACTGGCATAAATTTGAGGGAATCACCGCGCAGGACTGGCTGACAAAGAACCTTGGCCCTGAGATCTACCAGGCCATATGGGAACCCATGCTGCGCGGCAAGTTCGGTGAGTTCTACGACCAGATTAGTATGACCTGGCTATGGGGCAAAATCTATTTGAGGGTGGCATCTCGGGGCAAGGCATTACAAAAAGAACGGTTGGGATACCCCATGGGCAGTTTCGGGGAAGTGTTCGACAGGCTTGAAGAAGTTATTAACGAGCAAGGGGGCAAGGTCCATAAATCCGCCCGGATCAACCGGGTTAAGGTGGAAGAAGGAGTTGCTACCGGGTTAGAAGGTCAGCTGGACCGTCAAGATTCTGAAATAAGAGATTACGATGCCGTAATTGCGACCACTCCGTCCTACATTTTTACCCGGTTAGTGCCAGCACTTCCAAAGGAATACCACGACAAACTGGTCGGAGTCAGCTACCTCTCAGCGGTGCTGGTTATCCTCACCCTGGACCGGCCTCTCACATCGAAGTATTGGCTGAACATTGCCGACCGGAGCCTCCCTTTTGTGGGCGTCATAGAACACACCAACATGATTGACCCCGAACTATATGGGGGCAATCATATTGTTTACCTCACCAATTACACCCCCAGGGACAGCGAACTTTATGCAAAGTCGCCAGAAGAGTTACTTGAGGAATTTGTTCCGCATCTGCAGAAGTTAAACCCCGATTTTGACCGTTCCTGGATCACGGACTAATTCCACCACAAGGTGGACGGCGCCCAACCTATAATCGGGGTGAACTATGGTAGGCAAATCCCTGACCATCGGACCCCAATTCGAAATCTTTACCTCGCCAACACGACGCAAATCTACCCGGAAGACCGGGGAACAAACTACTCGGTCAGGATGGGAAGGAATGTTGCGCGGTTGGTCATGGGCGATCTGCCTAGGCAGGGACCGTGAAGCTAGTTTGCTTTGCATAATAGCGAGTCCGAAATCAGCCCGGCTGATAGCACAGAGGGGCTTGGTGCCAAGCTAGTTGGTGCAACGTAATCCGGGGACTGTTATAATGCTTTCTGCTAAACAGCCGTACTTTCAGCAGGAATGCTTCAGAACCAGAGAGTATTCTACCAAATATCGGAGTAGCTTGTGCCACGCAATAAAGTTGCCGTAAAGAATGGCGGGGAAAGCCGCCGCAACTTCCTTACCAAGTTGGGCATTGGAATCGTTGCCCTTGCGGGAGTATCTGCAGGATTGGTCCGCTTCGGCGGCAAATCGTCAACACTAGCTGACGAATTTCCGGGCCCCGATTCGATTTTCCATCCTGCACAGGACCCGAGACTGGACCCCCGCAGGCAAAGTTAGAGACACCGACCAGGTTAAGGCTGTCCCATTCGCCTCGTAAAGGACAGACGACAAACTACCGCCTCCCGAATTCCCGCTCCATGTGGTAGGAACTGAAGTGGATTACTGTAGGCCTCCCGTGGGGGCAGGTATGCGGATTATCAGTAACCTCCAACTGTTCCAGCAGGGCCCTCATTTCAGTTTCGGTCATTGACTGACCGGCGCGGATAGCGCTATGGCAAGCAAGAGAAGCTGCCAATATATCCTCCCGTTCCTTCAATAACCCTTCAAACGCCACCAGGTCCAGCACATCAATCAGTGCTTTTCCAGGGTCTTGCGTGGTAAGCACAAATGGCACGGCCCTGATCAGGAATCCGGCACCACCAAATTCCTCCAGCTCAAACCCATAGTCGCTCAAGAACTTCAGGTTGTTGACCAGAGTTTCGACCTGACCAGGAGTCAATTCCACTAGGGACGGGGACAACAGCGGCTGTGATTGGGGTTCACGTTGAGCCGCATCTTGCACTATGCGGTCAAACAGGACACGCTCGTGGGCGGCATGTTGATCTATCAGGTACATCCCATCCGGGCTTTCCGCCACTATGTAAGTGAGCTTCACCTGGCCCACAACCCTCAATGCTGGCAGGGCTTGCTGAGGCGTCAGCGCTGCATCAGCAGGACCTGCTCCCCTCACTTGGATATCACCACTGCCAGTAGGTCCTTGCCGTCCGCCTGAGGATGGAGGAGACACTGACCCAGAATCAAACGGACTGCGGAAAAAACCAGCAGTATTTTCAAGTCCGCTTGCCGGAGAATTTCTACCTCTTATCGTTCCCTGAATTCCCCTTACCGGGGAATAGGCAACTAAAGCCGCTCTTACCCCTCTTTGCAGCGCCGCATACACTTTTCCGTCCTGTCGAAAACGTACCTCCCGCTTGGCCGGGTGCGAGTTTACGTCGACGTCTTCATAGGGAACGACCAGGTTAAGAGCGGCCAAAGGATAACGTTTTTCTGGAAGTAAGCCGTGATAGGCCTCTTCCAACGCAAAGGTGAGCATTCTGTTTTGAATCCACCTGCGGTTGACAAAAAACGTCATGTAGGTACGGTTGGCCCTATGGAGACTTGGGTCGCCAGCGAGGCCCTCCACCCGATATCCTGTTTCCGGGTCCTCTTCCTGGATTTCCAGCAGGCTTTCGGACACTTCGGCCCCATACACCGCCAACGCAGCATTTGCCCGGCGACCGTCGCCCTGCGTATTTAAGACAACCCTATCACCTACCTTGAGATGGAAAGATACCTCAGGATAGGCCAGGGAGTAACGCGTTACCAGTTCATGTATGCGGCCCGATTCAGCGGTGGCGGACTTTAGAAATCGGCGCCGAGCCGGAAGGTTTCCGAAGAGGTCTGAAACTTCAATTGTCGTTCCCGGCGGGCATCCGTGTGCGCCTTCACTGATCAGTTTTCCCCAGGCAAATTCAGCGTTGAAACCCGCGTCTGTTGCTGCAGGCCTGGTGTTAATAGCCATCTGGGATACGGCCGCTATGCTGGGCAAAGCCTCCCCCCGGAAGCCCAGGGTCGGTATGGCATTAAGCATATCCGCGGATTCGACCTTGCTGGTGGCGTGCCGCTGAAAGGCCAGCAAAACCTCTTCGCTGAGTATTCCGGCGCCATCATCAACAACACGAAGCTGTTCAATGCCGCCGCCCTTGATCTCGACAATAATGCGGGAAGCCCCGGCGTCAATGGCATTTTCCACCAATTCCTTGACTACGGAGACAGGACGTTCTATGACTTCGCCGGCAGCTATCTGGACGGCGATATCGGGAGGGAGCTGCCTTATAGGCATTTGAAACCTTCCTTGCCGCACAGTGCGGCAAGATTACGGTTCGAGACGCTGCAACTCAGGTGAGGCATTTGAGGTGGATGTCAGAAGAGAGGGAGCGCAGTCCCTTTAGCCTTGTATTGTTTATCCTCTGAGGCGCCATCCTTGGCAAAGTCGCAAACAATTTGATAGACCCGGTCCATCTGCTGGTCGACGTTGCGGGCAAAGAAGTATGGCGGAACCCAGGCTCCACCAAAGGCTGCCACTATCTCCGGGTAATCATCGATTACAAACTCCGGCTCAAATGGGACTTTCAATTCTTCCAGACGTTCGTGAAAGTGATGGGTAGGTTTTTCGTACACACCGCTGATAAAGTGACGCAACTCATGCTTCTCAATAACCTCCCAGCGTTCGCCCATTCCGGACCAAATATAGATCTCGTGGTCGTCATCCAGGAGCTTTTGGAAAACTTCCTTGGTCCCGGGTCGAAGGGTATCGTCCAAGCCGAGAATGGTGTAGTCAACATCAAAGAATATCTTCATGGTCCGACGTCTGTCTCCCGAGGCTTAAGCTGGATAAGAGATTATCACAGCCGATGATATAAGGACAACAACAAAATCACAACATAATGTCCAAAAGCGCAAGATCGTCTCCCTAAATAACGAAGAGCGGGGTCCTGTTTCCATAATTTCTTCTTGGAAACGAACACATTAAGCAGGCGTATTCAGGGGCACAATGTTGTTGACGCCCTGAAGCGTTTACAGGGGATCAAGGAAGCGGACAAACTAACCCATATTAGTCAGTTCTTGCTCCAGAACCTTTTGGTTTGAACCGATTATTAGCTTATCTCCCACTTTGATCACCGGCCGTCGAAGCAGTCGTGGTTCTTCCAGCATCAGCTTCAACATTTGAGCTTCCGACAAGTCCTGACTGGCCAACTCGAGCTTTTTGAAACTTGGACTACGCCAGGCAAACAGCTCTGAAAAAGAAGCCAAGGATGCCAGCTCCGAGAGTTCGCCTTCGCTTAGAGGCTCCTTAAAGTAGTCCCGCTCTACAAGCTCATATCCCCTTTGCAAGAGCAACTCTCTTGCTTTTCGGCATGAGGATCAACGGGGCCACCAATAAAATGTCGCAGTGTTGCTCATGAGACCTCCTTACGCGGGACGAAGACTTTCGGCAGACCAGGCAGGGCAAGTACCGAGAGAGTTGGCGCCATTCTAGCCCATTCTCCGCAAGAGTTTAGAGCGTCAACCGGTGCATGTCGAGCAGTTTCATAAGAATTCGCTGTTGTTGGTTTCTCCCTTGCATAAGATTGTTCCTGAGTTCTCGGCGAGCAGTGACTACCCTTCTTCGGGGCTCTCCTTCGCACTTTCCTGCAATTCGTAAAGCTTGTTTATAGCTTCCAGAGGCGTTAAGTTGGCTACGTCGATAGCTAGAATAGCTTCTTTAATACGCTGTTCGGGGTAGAAGAGCGGCATTTGAAACGCCGGTTCAGAACGCTTTCCACTGCCCAACTGCTTGCGGTTACCCGCGGTTGACTCCAGTTCTTCAAGCACTTCCCAAGCTCTGTTCACAACGGCCCGCGGCAAACCGGCTAACTGGGCAACGTGAACGCCATAACTGCGGTCGGCTCCGCCTTGCACAATTCGGTGCAGGAAAACCACCTGCCCTTCCTCTTCGGTAACCGCCACGCTGAAATTGCGCACCCCAGGCAAAGTTCGGGCTAACTCCGTCAATTCGTGATAGTGAGTGGCAAACAGAGACTTGCACCCCAGCCTTGGATCGTTGTGTAAATGTTCAATAACTGAACGGGCGATAGACAGGCCATCGTAGGTGCTGGTGCCGCGACCAATCTCGTCCAGAATCAACAGGGAGCGGGGGGTAGCCTGGTTAAGAATTGCAGCAGTCTCAACCATCTCTACCATGAAGGTTGACTGGCCCGTCGCAAGGTCGTCCTGAAGGCCTACGCGCGTAAAAATGCGGTCGACGACTCCTATTGTGGCCTCGTCCGCCGGAACAAAGCTCCCAATCTGCGCCATCAATACAATTAAGGCGACCTGCCGAATGTAGGTGGACTTGCCGGCCATGTTGGGTCCGGTCAATACCAATAAACGCGAGTCGTCATTGCACAAATTGGCGTCATTGGGTACAAAGCTCCCGGGACCCAGATGACGCTCTACTACCGGGTGTCTCCCATTCTTGATCGTGATGGAATTACCGTGGTTAATGCTCGGCCGAACGTAATGGTAGCGAGCCGCCACTTCGGCCAACGATGAAACTACGTCAACGCAAAGCAATGGCGCCAGCCAGTTTTCCGATTACATCAGCATAATTTCCAATCTGGGCGCACACTTGTTTGAACAGGCTCTTTTCCAGTTCTTCGACACGTTCTCTCGCGTTCAGAACCAGCGATTCGTACTCTTTCAGTTCTGGAGTGATGTAGCGTTCGCCGTTGGCAAGGGTCTGCCGGCGGATGAAATCCTCAGGAACCTGCTCCAGATTTGACTTGCTCACCTCCAAATAGTAGCCAAAGACCTGATTGTACCCAACTCGCAGATTACGTATTCCAGATCGTTCCCGTTCCCGCTGCTCAAGAGCGGCTATGAAGGAACGCGCGTTGCTGGATGCAGACTTCAGCTCATCCAATTCGGGCGAGAACCCTTCTCGTATAGTGTTACCTTCTCCCACACTGCCCGCAGGTTCAGGATTTATGGCTCTTTCGACTAACGAGACAACATCAGGGACAGATGTTACCAGCCCCTGCAACCAGTCTACCTTTTCTGCTTCCTGCCCTTTAAGGGCTTCACTCAGTGGGTCCGCCGCTTCAATCCCAGTCCTTAGACCTATCAATTCCCGGGGAACCACGGTGTCGGTCTGTACCCGCCCAAGGATTCGTTCAAGATCAGAAACTTCCGACAAAATGTCCCTTGTCCTGGCACGCTTAATAGACTCATTAACAAAATATCCCACGGCATCCAGGCGACGCTCCAGCTCTTCCCTGTCCAGCAGGGGCTGACCCAGCCAGCGACGCAGCAGTCGACCTCCCATTGGAGTGCGAGTCATATCCAATGCCGCGAACAGAGACAGCTGGCGGTTCTCCCAGCGCCCGCTCTGGAACAATTCCAGATTACGCCTAGTTTGCACATCCAGGGCCATGAAGGTTTCCGACGAATAGACGGCGAGACTTGAAAGCCTGGGCGTGACTGTCTTGTAGGTCTGGGAAAGATAATCCACTATGGAGCCGGCGGCCCTGGCAACTAAGGGCATCCCCTCGCACCCAAAGGATTCCAGCGTATGAATTCCGTAGTGAGTTAACAAAGCATCAGAAGCTAAATCCAGATCGAAAGACGCCGGATTCAGATGCGTCAGGGGAAAGCCTGCCTCGAAATCTTGGGCGGAGTGGTTGGAGGAGGACTCTCGTCTTGCTGAGGGCAACCAGACTGGAGGGTCTTCGCCTGCCGGAACCAGAATCTCAGCAGGAGAGATCCGTTCCAGCTCCGGGAGCAGCCTGGCCCTGTCAATCTGAGTGGCAGCGAACTCGCCGGTCGTAATATCCACGTAGGCCAATCCTACTTGGTCGCCTTCCTCTACGACGGAAGCCAGGTAGTTGTTAGAGTCCTGTTCCAGCAGGGAAGCTTCTAATATTGTTCCGGGGGTAACCACTCGGACTACATCCCGTTCTACCAGTCCCCGGGATTTGGCTGGATCTGTCAATTGTTCGCAAATGGCGACTTTATGACCCTTCTTTACCAGGCGAGCCAAGTATGTTTCTAAGGCATGGGCCGGCACGCCAGCCATTGGAATCTTGAGGTTCTTGCCCATTGTTCGAGAAGTTAAGGTAATCTCCAGTTCGCGTGATGCCAATTCCGCGTCGTCGTCGAAGGTCTCGTAAAAGTCTCCCAACCGGAAAAGCACCACAGCATCCGGGTAGGAGTTCTTTATTTTCAGATATTGGCGGCGTACTGGTGTGAGTGTTGACCCTGAAGTCAAATCGGATCGAGCCTCAACCTTTTCGGATTTTACTATTCTACTTTAAGGGCATCGTTTCAACAAAAGGGCCGTAATCGTGTCTGTTGAGTAAAATGTTATATGATGTAGGCAAAGGACTTCTTGAGAGTGCAAGAGGGTAAGCAAAGAGACGTCCCGACATTGAACTCTGAACTCGAGATTCTGGCCACCACGTTATCTTAGCCGTTCAAGGATGAACATCGATCAATTTCTGACCTACCCAAAGGAATGCGGAGGAATAAAAAGAGAAGGCGAACTCTGATTCGCCTTCTCTCCGTGCACCAGTTTGAAGCCGCCTGAAACCGATTGTTGTTACAAAAGGTTGCTCAACGGCATTCTCGTATTCACTTCCCGATATGGGTTCTGGATGGCAGGTGCTATTCCTTCCAGAAGCGTTCCTCCTTGAACTGCCAACCCAGAGCCGTAACCTGTTCCTTGACGTCGGCAATCATCCCGGGGTGCCCGCAAGTATAGACCATTGTATCGTCTATCGGCAGATCAAACTCCGCCAAGTATTTCTGGACGAGATTGTTGACCCTCCCTTCTTCACCTTCCCACCCAAAGTTCTCACTCTCGTAGGGTCGGCTGACCGTAGCAACAAATTTGACGCATTCTGGGTGATCTTCCGACAGCTTCTTCAACTCGGCATCATAGGTGAGTTCGTCCCGGTAACTGGCGCCGAAAAGCACGTAGAAATGGTGTCCCTCGCCGCCCTGATGCAGGTATTCACGAATTATGCTCAAGTATGGCCCGACACCGGTCACCGTCGCCATCATGAGGTGGTGATGAACATTCTCGTTAAGCGTGAAAATCCCTTTAGGACGCGGTCGGATGGACATAGTCTCGCCCACCTTCAGATTCCACATCTTGGGGGTCAGTTCTCCTTCAGGCACCAGTTCCACAAAAATTTCCAACTCCGGCTCATAGGGAGCCGAAACTATAGAATATGCTCTTTCAACGCCCTCTTTTCCGAGGGTGCAATACTGTCCTGGCTTGAAATTGAAAGGGCCATCCACCGGTTCCAACTTGATCACCATCAAGTCTTCGGTTACATCCCTTCGATAAACCAGCCTGGCCTGTGGCAAACTGTCAGTCTTGTAACTTGGACGACCATAATCAGCCTCGCCGATTGACCTAATGGTCTCGCTGGTGGCCATTCCTCACCTCAACAGATTTCATTTAAACGCGACGCCGAAAAACCCGGTTCCCATAACATGGAACACAATAACAGATTGCCCCTTTATTCTACCAATTCAACACGCAAAGAATACTTGCTAAGCGTCCGTGACTTTGGCCACTTTTACGGGAATGAGGTCCAGGCCCGGCACACTGGCCATTGGGTCTGGCTCTTCTGAACTCTCCAGGTCTACCACTAATTGTCCGAACAACCCTGTAACTGCCACCAATCCCTCAGGCAGGGTAGCATTAAACCGTGCAATGCCCGTCAAGTCGGAATCTCGACCTTCGACCTTAACCGTATCCCCTTCCAATATCGACCAATTGGCAGCATCTTGTGCGTTAATTTCCACTACTTCATTCCGTACTATCCTGTTTCGCTTTGAAGTGGCCTCCAGTACTACGGTACTATCTCGGTCCCGCTGCAGGAGAACCCGACCGGGAGCCAACCAGGCAGGATAGGTCGGATCCGTAGCAGTTTCCGGTGTCCTGAACTCGGGAGCTATCAGGATTGCCTTTCCTGCCGGGAATGTCTCCCGGTATAGGACCGGAGTACCGTTGCCGGAATCAGCCGCTACTGGCCATTGGATGCTGCTGTGAGACCGACTCGCATAGAGCATTTGGGTAGGTTTTGGACTCTCCAGGCTACTTAGAAAGACCAGGGGAGCAGCCGCATCTAAGCTCTCGTGCGACACGCCGGCATATGTGGGCACCACTCGTGAGATCTCTTCCATAACCTGCGCTGAAGAATAATGAGCGAATCCCTCAACACCAAGCTTCTGTCCCAACTGACCCAGAACCCACAACTCAGACATTGGCGCACCAAGTTTAGGTTGGAAAACAGGCTTGAGCCTTTGAATGCGCCGCTCCAAGTTGGTAAATGTACCATCCTTCTCGGCGAAGGTACTACGAGGAAGCACCACATCGGCCATTTTAGCCGGGGCCGACAAAAAGGAATCCATTACTACTAGAAATTCCAGATTATCCAAGGCGGCCAGTCCGTCTCCTATACGACCGTTTCCAAAGTTAGGACTGTCACCAACCAGCAAAATAGCCTTAACCTGCCCTTCAGAGGCAGCGCCAAGGCACCCTGCCAAGCCCAATCCCCTTGCGGAGGGCAGCGAGCATCCCAGAATATCTTCCAGTGCCGCGCGGGCGTTCTCATTTCTTGCTGAGCCCCCACCCGGCAATTTGTTTGAGATGCAGCCCATGTCCCATGCGCCCTGGTCATTAGCTCCAGGGCGAATTGGGTACAGGCCCGTGCCAGGCTTGCCGACATTGCCGGTTAACAGGGCGAGATCTACCAAGGCGCTCGCACAGCCCCGCTGCAGTTCTCCAGTTATATTTTCCAAGGCAAGGCAGATTGCGGCTTTGTCTGCCTTGCCATATAAACCAGCAGCCTCAGCTATTACTTCCCTTGAAACGTGGGTTGTGGCGCTAATTTCGTCCAATTGCAGGTTGTGCAAGTAATACAACAGGGTGGCCGGGTCCTCGCAGAATTCATCCACCCACTCTTTGTCTTCCAGACCCTGGATCAAGATTTCGGACAGAATGCCGCCCAAGAGCAGCAGTTCAGTACCAGGTTTCGGGCGCAGCCACAATCTTGCATGACGCGTCAGTTCAACTTCTCGGGAATCAATCACAATCAGGGACGCGCCATTCTTTACGGCCCGCTTCACCGGCAGTGCAACGACATTGTTATCTTCGGTCAAATTGGTGTTAAAGACTAAAATGCAGCTCGATTGTTCCAGATCCCAGACTGGATTAGTAGCAGCCCCGTACCCCAAAGCACGCTCCAGGGTTAATGTCAACTCCGGTTGCAAGTTGGAGGTCACGTCCACGTTATTGGAGGACATCGCTACCCGAGCAAATTTCTGAGCGAGATAAAACTCCTCGTTGGTACTATTTGGGGATGCCAAGAGTGCAAATGAATCGCCCCGGTAGGAACCAAGACGATCAGCGACATAGTCCAACGCTTCTTCCCACGTTGCTTCGGTTAACTCGCCATCTCGCCTGACCAGAGGGCTCCTTAAACGGTCTGAACTATTGATGTACTCCAGTCCGAATTTGCCCTTAAAGCATGCTTGACCACGATTGGCCGGAGAGTTGAACTCGGGCACTACCCGTATAAGCTCGCCATCGTCGTTTAGTTCCAGGTTAAGTTGGCAACCTACGGGACAATGGGGACAAATTGTACTCTCAATTCTGCGGGGCTTTTCCCACTTGTGGTCCCGCTCAACCAGCGCTCCGACCGGGCAAACGTCAATACAAGCGCCACAGAACTCGCATCCCGATTCCAGCAGCGAGGTGCCGAAGGATGTGCCGACAAGCGCCTTGCCCGACCTTTCCGTGAAGCAAATTGCGTCGTCGCCTCTGATTTCCTCGCAGGCGCGTACACAGCGACCGCATGCTATACACAGATTGTAGTCGCGGTCATAGAAAGGGTCACTGACTTCCAGCGGAATCTGCTTGTATTTGTAGTTGAGCGGTGACTCCAACTCCATACCCAGATAGCGAACGGTATCCTTGAACTCGCACCGCTCGTTCTTTGGGCACGTAACACAACGGTCATTTACGGAAACATGACGCAGGCAAACATCGCTTGGCCCACAAATATCAACCCGATGACAAGTAAGACAACCGCTGGGATGCTCGGCGATCAACATTTGCATTACGGACTTGCGCAGTTCGTTCACATCCTGAGACTCACTACGAATGCGCATACCGTCGGCTACCGGCAAAGTGCAAGCCGCTGGATATCCCCTGCCTCCTTCTACAGATACGACGCACATCCGGCAGGCGGCGAAGGGTTTCATGCCAGGATGGAAGCAGAGATATGGAATATAAAGCCCGGCGTCTATGGCAGCTTCCAGCACCATTTTGCCTGGCTGCGTCTTTATCTCCACACCATCAATGGCAATAGTTATGTCATCGGGCATCGGTTATTCTCCCGTCCCGGGACTTCATGTCTATCTTCGACTCAGTTGAGGCGAAAAATGCGGGACGTGGCAACGGCCAGTGGGGCAACGCTTTTCGACGATATGGGTCTCAAACTGTTCCGGAAAGTATCGTAGGGCAGATGCTACGGGGTTGAAGCCCAGCTGACCATGTCCGCAAAGGGAACCGGCTTGCATGTTTTCCCCAATGTTACGCATCAGCGCGAGATCATCGGATTCGCCTTCCATCCGGCAAATCCTCTCCAGCACTTCCAGCATGTGACTCATTCCCATCCTGCAGGGAAAGCACTTGCCACATGACTCGTACTGGCAAAAGGCGATCAATACACGGGTCAGGTCGACAACACACGTATTCTCGTCGGCGGCAATTACACCACCGGATCCCAGGATGGCTCCAGCGGTTCGGAAAACATCAAAGTCCAGAACAAGGTCAGCAGCTTGGGCGCTAAGTACGCCGCCGAGGGGGCCCCCCGTTTGAATAAAGCTCAGTGCCTTTCCCCCCGGAACACCCCCGGCAACCTCGTAGAGCACTTCATTCAGGTTTATGCCCATGGGAAGCTCCACCATACCGGTGTAATTCAGGGTACCAGAGAGGCAGATTATAGCGGTTCCCGTGCTCTTATCATGGCCGATCCCGGAAAACCACTCACCACCCTTCGAAATTATCTCCGGCACGTAGGCCATGGTCTTGACATTGTTAATGTTGGTCGGTTTGCCAAATACGCCGACCTGAGCCGGAAATGGAGGTCGATATCGGGGCATAGCACGGCTTCCCTCAATAGCCTCCATCAAAGCGGTCTCTTCGCCGGAAACATAAGAGTCTCCGGTCAATGCCACCTCAAGGTCAAAGCTGAAATCCGAGCCCAGTATGTTTTCGCCCAGCAAATTCAATTCATAAGCCTGGGCAACTGCTGCCCTGGTCCTGTCGATGGGACCATCGTGGCCGTGTCGGATAAAGATGTATCCGTGGTTGGCGCCGGTGGCATACCCTGCCAAAACAATGCCTTCAACAACGGTATGGGGATCGCTCTCCAAGATCCCCTTGTCGTTGAAGGCACCCGGGTCTCCCTCCTCACAGTTGCAAAGAATATACTTGTCAGGGGCGTTAGAACCGGCCAGGAAACGCCACTTGGTTCCCGCGGGAAATGCCGCTCCCCCACGACCTCGCAAGCCGGAAACGTTCACTTCTTCAAGAACATCGGCAGCTGACATCTCGGTCAGGGCACGGTTTAGAGCTCCATACCCACCGTTGGCAATGTATTGATAAATGTCCAGGGGGTCAATGTGGCCCGCATTCCGCAGGGCGATGCGCTGCTCCCTGACTCGCATCGGATGTTCATCCAGATGGGGCAAACTGTCGTCTCCCTCACATCCCAGGCGACCCAATACTTCTCCTCGACCGGCTTGCCTTTCCCCAAGTGTAAACCGACTATTTCCGGAACCTGTTCTGGGGACACATTACGGTACACCACTCGGGATTGCCCTGGAATAAGAACATCGACAAGGGGCTCCGCGAAGCACAAACCGAGGCAACCGACTCGACTCACGTTGCCCGGGAGACTTTGACTTTCCAGTTCTTCTCTAAAGGCGAGAGCAACTTCCTCTGCGCCGGCCGCCTGACCGCAGAGAGCCGTGCCAACACGAACCCAAGGAGTATCGCCGGCCGTCAGATGACGCCAACGCTCATTGGCTTGCCCTTCAATTTCGCTAAAACTGGCGGCCATCAGTGTCCACTAAAGACAACCCTCGCCCCCATACGACTTTAAAATCGACTCTACCAACACATTCGGAGCTTGCCCGGCTCAGTCATTCTGAAGTGGCTCTCCGCCATTCTTGCGGAGTTACGACCGTAATTACGGACTCGAAGACTGGTCAGGCTCTGTCACGGCACTTTCCAGAACTTTGGATACCAACGCCTCGCCCTTCTCGGGTGTGGCCCTTCCCACCAGGTGATGGTCCACGGACATAACGGGGGCCAAAGCACAGGCACCAAGGCAAGTGTTGTAGCGGACTGTCAGCTTGCCGTCTGGAGTGTCGCCTTCCTCGTTTAAGACCTGCCGCCCTTAGTACAGAGGCAATGACCGGCATCGCGCCAACCAGGTGACAGGATGGCCCCCAGCAGACTTCAATCCGATGGTCACACGGTGGAACGGTACGAAAGTTAGGATAAAAAGAGACCACAGCCCAGACGTCGTTGATAGTCGCCCCCTTGTACGCTGCGACTTCTTCAACGGCTTCCTTGGGGATGTACCCCAATTCGTCCTCAACTGCCAAAAGGGAAGAAAGGATAGTTACGGTGGGTTGAGGTTGACTATGGACGGCCTTTGTAATTCTCTGCTTCAGCCCATCCATCACTTGGGCTCCTTGGCCCCATCCACCTCTAGGAACATCGGAATGCGGCGGAGGAAAACTTCGTGAATTCCGTAACAATCCAAAGTCGATAATACCACATCGTGGAATCCGGCTTCAACAAAGCGCGACATTTGTTGCAGCTATAGAAACCGTCAAACCCCATGAAGTTGGGAAGGCATAGCCCGGCCAGAAGCGATCAACTGCGTGGAACTGGACAGGACTCACTTACTAATAGAAAGGGCGGAACAAGTCCGCCCCATTTCTCATCTTTGTACCGACCCCGAGATTACTGGTCGTTGAGGTACTGGTTTATCGCCGACTTGAAAATATCGTAGGGGTGGGCTCCGGTAAACAACAGGTTTCCCACCACAAAGGTAGGTATGCCCCGAATTCCATACTGCAGGGCTTCCTGGTATTGGCCCGTTACTCTGCTTGAGAACTCGTGGGTTTCCAGGCACTGGATCATCTCATCGGCATCCAGAGAAACAGAACGAGCTACTTCAGCCAAAACATCCAACTGGCCCAAATCCTTGCGTTCATCCCAATATGCCCTGTACGCAGCATGATGGAATTCCATGAACTTGCCATGCTGCTGGGCGTATTCAGTAGCCTCCAAGGCATACATAGTGTTAGGTGTAACTAAAGGAGGGCGCATAACCAGGTTGGCTTCCCTGACTTGAGACCGGATTGGCTCACTAAGTTCGTCGTCGGTTTCTCCTGAGCGGGTCTGCCTAAGCAAGCCTTCTTTAGGCGTGTCCGGCCTCAGGAGGTAGGCCCGGCCTTCAACCGCAATATCATACTCCTGCCCGAGCTTGTCGACTCTCTCCAGGCCGACGTAGCACCAAGGTCAAACATAGTCATACCAGACTATGACTCGGACGGGGTCAGTGCCGTTTGGATGCTGCTCAACATTCTCGGCCATGCTCCACCTCCT